TGTAGCCGGGTTTGAGGACTTTACCAAAGCTTTGGCTTTGGCGACCGTGGCCATGTTCTTCTCCAAGCGGCTCCTGGCGTCCATCATGAGGTAGCGGATGCGCTCGTCCGCCGTGACCTTGTCCATGAAGGCCTTGACCAACTCCCCATTCGGGTTCATCTCCTGCGGGAGTGCAGCTTGTAGTTCCTTGAGAGCTCGCTGCACCATGGTCGGGTTCTCGCAGGCTGTGGTGTTCGCCGGAGCTCCTGGCTTTGGAGTGTAGTCAAGCCGCAGGTTGCACACAGCGCAGTGGTGCCAAGTCCCCCATTTGTTGGACTGAGCCTTGTTCGGCACGTGCACGTTGAAGCACGGCCAAACGGTCGGTGACGACCTTGGATCCCGGGGATCTGCTTCCACTCTCCTCTCCTCGTCCAATTCCACAGGCGTGGTCTTCTTCGGAGCCATGAAGGTGAGAGGATCGGGACCGGAGCGAATTGGAGACGGTCGTAGGCAGATTGCCCATGAGCCCGAGTCTCCGGTGCCAGACGTGTTCGAACCATTGACGATGTCCACTCTTCGAACTCGAACGAGACTCCGTGAGGAGGGGTGCACAGTCCAAGACCATGTCGAGGGTGAATGCTATAGGTGTGGCCGATTCGAACTGCATGACATGTACTCTTGGGTGACCTTGATGACATGTTTTGCCGTCACTCAAAAAATGAACCACGTCCAACATGAAGTGACCCTTGTGGTTGGTGACCAGGTGAAAAGGGGTTGCATCCGGGCTAGTGGCACAAACCGTGTAGCCATCTTGGAAATCAATCACCAAACCGTTGCCCCGGATGAAGTCCATCCCAACCAACACGGGTACGTGGTCAAAATCTGCTCGATGTGCAGCTTGGGGGTCAGGTAGTACAAAGGCCTCAAAGGTTCTTGATGTGATACTTGAGGAGATTTTGACCAAGTACAAAGCCTGTCCCCAATCTCCTGACCCGAAGCGGAACTTGGGTCTCCTTTTGGCATCGATGGCGATTGATGCCTGGTTGTCTTGGGTGATCACTGCTTGGATCAGGTTGCGGATGCTGGTCTCAGGACCGGCACTGCAAGTTGCACCGCAATCGAGCATTCCAAGGCCTGTGGTGTCTTTCTCCACTCTGCCAAGTTCAAGGTCAGGTTGGTGACCCTGTTCTTCATCGAATTGAAGGCCGTGGAAGTCATAGTCCTCGGTGTAGTAGGCGTTGACATTGCCCTGGTTCTTGCTGCGAAGCTTTCCATGACCTTTTCCTTTGCCCTTGTGGTTGTAGCCCTTCATGTAGTTGATGAACTCCTCGAAGAAGTTGTTCATCTTGCCATTGCCCTTTTTGCCGCCTTTGCCCTTGTTGAACATGTAGTCCGTGTAGATCTCGGTGGTCGCCGTATCATTAAAAAATTTCCCTTTTCCTTTGCCACCTTTGGCGTTGCGGTCAGGACATTCACGGGCCATGTGGCCTTTGTTGCCACAGATGAAGCAGCCATCGGTCTTCGCTGAAGCCGCACCAAAGCCGCGGTCTTTGCGAAGCATCTGGGTGCTCTTGTGAGCTTGTGACCAGGTCCTGTCAGCCGTCATGGCTTCAGGATCAAGAGGCGTTGAATCCTCTGCCAGAGAAACTTCTCCATCTGGTTCTTCTGGCCATTCGGAACTCTCCTCCCAGGCAGTAGCCGCCCAGGAAGTTCCATCATCCCACCAATCTTCATCTCCCCAGGTGTCCTCTTCCGCCATGTTGAAGAAGTGCGGAGTGCCATGTCCATATGTAGGCGGTGAAGACGTTGAAGACCGGTGCATGATCTGCTCGTCGAACAAAACCGTGAGGGCCTCCCGGACGCTGTCGTAGTCCAGCTGGTTCTTGGTTGAGGCCAAGATGGATCTCCATTCTTCGCTGCTAAGAGCTGCACCGCTGAGAAGCCGCCATCCTCGTAGTTGAGTGAGGATGAAGGAGTCGGTGATCGAGAGACCAGGAGGGTCTCCAGCTCGAGCACTGCCAGGTCGTGAACCATCAGGGCGTGAGCCTTTGGAACCACCTTTGGAAGCGGGTGAAGATGGATCTTCAGTTGGAACGGACTTGTAGCCCTTCTTGTCCTTGTGGCCTCCGTCCGACTCAGAGGACGAAGAGGACTCTTCCAGATCCAAAAAGCCAGCGTGACCTTGATGTCCGCCATGTAGTGCCATGAGCGCCTCCAAGAACTCCTCGTAGTAGAGACTTTCCCTCACCAGGTAGGCATTGATGTTCTCGTGCCCCTGGCGGCGGTAGTTGAAGTACTGCTGAAGCACCGCAGCTGTGTTGGGAAGCTGCTTGCGCACCAGCGGGGATTGTTCCAGCTTGTTCAAGAGGTTCTGCACTCCGTGGGTGCCTGAGAGCTCTTCAAGGCTCCATGACATAGCCAAAAGCCTTGCTGGTCCCGTGAGGCGAGCGACAAGGCGAGCTCCAAGTAGGGACCTTTGGTTCTTCTTTGTTCCCATGGTGTACCAAAGAACTTCTCTTTGATACCGGCGCCACCCTCGAGGGTTGCCGTCCCAGGATGGGATGGTCTCAGCCACCTGCTTGCCCTCCATGGCCAAAATGGCGAAGGCAAGTGAAAAGAATCGCCTCTTTGAGGCAAGGTGTAAAATGAAGACCTCGTTGAGGTACAGGAGAAAGTAGCCCTGAACTCGTAATGGATGAAGTCCAGGAAAAAGCTATGGACGTAGTCCCAAAAGGAGAAAGTCCAGGATGTCAAAGTCCCGGATGTAGTGTCGATCAGCTCTGGCGTTGCCGGCCGACCGGAAAATAAGGATGCCCAATCACCGGCTCTCCCGAAGGTAGCACCACGTTGAGGCGTCCTCCTTCTCTATCCCAACGTCCCACTCGCGTTGGCCGAGCTTGCCGAGGATCACTGTCGAAGATGTCCCAAAGAGCCGCTGCAGCCCGTAGGTGTTGTGCTCGTCGGTGAAGGTCCTCACCAGGTTCAGGCTCTGGATCAGGCTCCGGGCGATCCCGAGGTCGCGAAGCCCTCGCTTCCACCTGCGCGCGAAGCTGCGGGGTGAAGATGTCGTAGGGTCGCGGACCTCCAGGCGGGGATCGGGATCGGTCCCGCGCTGTCTCCTCCGTGGTTGAAGTCACCGTCCAAGGTGAAGACAACCTGGAAGGATCGCACGATGTAGGCCGCCACGAAGCCCCAGGCAAAGCTCCGCTGCCAATGCAACGGGATGGGTCCTAATCAACGAGGGGACCCAACCACGAAAACCCTATGGCGCGCCCCTCAAAGGGGCCGAAACACACGGAAGCCGCACCGAGCGGCAGGGCGCCTTTTCTCGAGTGAGCCAGGGCTCAAGCGCTGCGGGAAAACAGTGCATGTCGCACATGAGACAAATCACATGCCGTCGCAGGTGGTTATGATTGGGTGCGGTGAGCCCGGGCACCCCTTGTGGGAGCTTGAAAACATCATTCATTGCACATGGCTTTATAAATGTTGGGAATGGTTTTGGGGTTCTGGATGATTTTAGAGGATCTGGGGCCAGGCGAAGGGCCGTGATATTCTTATAGATGAGTCCAGGGAGCATTGAGATACACTAGAGGTGGTGGAGCGGGAGAATTGGGTGAGGAGGAGGCTGAAGATATGGAAGAACAAGAATTGGTTGAGAAGCAGGGAAGAATGGGTGTTAGTATTGCACAAAAATCGGCCCAAGAAAGTTTGGCCAAACCAATTGAAGGGGGGACCCATTGTTGAACGGTGGTTGGTGTTGCCGAAGGAACACAGGCCAAACTGATAGGAGGAGTTTCTCAAGAAACACAATTTTACACGGATCTTCAATAAGGTTCATGTGATGTTTTAGATGGGACACATAGGGGCAAAGCATACGTTTTGTTTGTGGGTGAAAACCCATGACAAGTTGCTGGTCTTGTTCATGGTAAACAACCATCTGTAGGTGAAAACAGTATCGTTCACGGCTTTTTTCTGCACGAACCAATTTGAAAGAACATATGTCTTTAACGACCGATGAATGCCCAAACACTCCAAGTAATGGTGGAATATCTATATATTAATATGTAATTATCATTATTTACCATCTTCACTCCAACCACCCCAACTGATCGCTACCACAGGGTCTCTGTTCTCTATGCCACCCGAGCCGTGGCCGGCCGATGCCAAACGGATGGACGACGGTTCACCACGGATGGACCCATGTGTGCGTTTCGCAGGAGGATCCAACGGTTCAACATGGACATTGATAGCTTTGGTTATAGTCTGGATAGACGACGCTCTCTTAACAGTCAGTTCACCTCGTTCTTGAAAAGGTCACACCCAACAAAACCGATGCCGGGGACGGAAGACCGGCATGTCTTGATCCGAGGGTCTCCCCTTCCGAACCGTCCAGCAGGTCGGAATCGGTCGGTCGGTCGGTCGTCCACCTCCGTGAGGTTCGGATGGTTGGGTGGGTGACCGGTGTGTCTGCGGGTCGAAGCGGTCACCGGTAAAGGAGAATGGGAGCCTGGAGCCCTACTAGGGTTGAATCCACACCCATATTGGACTGTAACCAGTTTGGCACACGTGTTCTTTTCGTGACCGTTGCAAACCACGGCATCACCACGCGAGGGTCAAACCACGACGCCACGTGCTTGACCAGTGGGATGTGGCGATGGTGATGTTTGGCAGCTGGTGTGCTGTAGGCAGTATATTGCTTGACCATGTGTGACGTGCATCCGACGGGTGGCTGTCCACGCAGCTAAGCCAGTCCGGTCACCGTCACCGTTCAGTCTGATAACTACCCACACCAAAAGGTTCCAACGCAATATCTCAGCGCACCAAGAGCAATGTTCGCTGAAGCATGCACTATGGAAATCCATTTGTGGCTTCAACAGTTTCGACAGCAGCTGCGTTGAAAATACAGAAGATCCTTTATTCACAATTGATCTAGACTCTGGACTCTATATGGGTCAGAACAACGATTTCTGTGTCTCTCCTTTTCAATTTCTCAATGGTTACAGCGACGGAGCGAGCTCAGCCTGTAGGAGCATCAAGAAGAGAGATGCCAGCGCTGCTTGCATTTGGAACTGATCCTGGCACAATGGCTGCTCTGGAAGCAGCCAAAAACTTGTTGTCCACGTGTTCAAGAGGTAGATGTTGGAAAGTGATTATGGTTCGTGGAGGTCAAAGGATCGCTGCGGGGGAATCCTCTACCTGATAAAATGAGGAAATCTGATTAACAACTTTCTGTGTCTCATCATGGGGCAAGCTCTGGAAGTTCGGATAAAAGAAACTGGCAGAACATGGCAGAACCATTTGTCAAGGCGGGTGTCCAACTCCGGTGAAGTCTCTCAGCTTTATGTGGGAACATGAGTCTTGGATCTCAGCTTATATCCATGTTCGGGATGTATCTCAGCTCTGCTTGTGACACGCCACATGCCTTAATTCCGAATTCATCAGCTTGTATCCAGAAAACGTCTGGAGACTTCGAAGTTCACCCGGTGAAATCGTGGTATCCTCCTATGCTCTCTAGGATGGGGATGGTGTCTCTGGCATGGGAAAAACAACAAGACTCGGCTTGTCATGCTTGTCCTCCCTCACAAACAGCTGTGGAAGTGGATAGCAATGAAGATGTCCTGCACGTCTTCTGCAGTCTAGCCATTGAGAGCCGCCAAATAAGTTTACATTAACCATTAGTCTACATTAACCATTAGAGAGTCTACATTAACCAAGAGTCTACAAGAGTCTACATTAACCATTAACCCATTATTCACCAAGAGTCTACATTAACCATTAGGCAATATCAGTTCCGGCCCTCTTTGGACCTATTCCAGCCAAAGGCTATTGGCTTTACAGTCAACATCTGCCCTGTGGAATCCGTGCGACGCCGACCGGCGAAAAGGCCGCCAACTTGCCCCTCTGCCCGGTCCAGCCGCTCGTAGGAAAGGATCAAGCACAAGAGCATCACCGCCAAGCAGCACAAACCGTAGTTGATGGCCAAGGACACGTGCCTGAGCTCGTTGGAACGTCCCTTTGCAGGTCCTTTCACACTCAGGAAAAACCTGGTCCATTTCCTCATTGTCTAGTGCTTTGCACTACAATATTACTTAATGAACATGATGCAACATGAGGTGCTTGACCTGTAGATCCTGTAGGGATCGCAAGTCAACTTCGACAGTTGCTGATTCTCTGAATTTGCTTGGCGTAGTGACTCCCCAACAACAGCTCAGCCGGGAACACCTCATCAAAACCCGGAAAATGTGGTCCAGCAGCATGAGCAAAGCAACAATAATCTGGAGTAAACTCCCATGTCAAGACTCGGCTAGCACCATCAACCCCTGGTAGGTGCTTGACCCAGGACTAAAGCAGAAATCATCTGGAATAAACTCCGTGCAAGAGGACTTTCAAATCACATTCAAGTTTCTTCCTGGGCAGCCTTGAGAAGGAAAGGCATCGATTCCCAAAACCCTCTGTGCGTCAAAACCAAAAAACGGGTCCAAAAGGAATGTTCTCTGCTTCTCCTAGTGACAGGGAACCTGAACTAGCCTTCCATTTGCAAAGGATCATGTCAATCATGTCCAAAGAAAAACTGGCCAGAAAGAACATGATGACGATTGCAGGTGGCCGTTGGCGAACATGTCGCATCGCAAATCCGATCATCTAAAGCAAAGGTGTATCAAGCTGTGGCATGAATTGAATGATGAGGTCGAGGTGGGTACCACCCCGCTACTGGCTTGCCAAACTTCAACAGACCAATGTACAATGAGGTTTTGTAGCTTCTCTAGTTAGAACCTATAATTACCCCCCATAAAGCTATGATAGAAGCTGACAAACAACTCCCAGTGAAGGCTTCCATGTTTGCTAAGCCAAGGCTTGGCGCCTTTCCCGGGCTCTGGTTCGCGGCGGGAAGAGCGCTGGCACTCAGCTTCCCGGCGCTCTGATGGTCTGCAAGATGCTACGATCCATGTAGATGAGCACCTCTGCTCTGCAGCGGGCACCAAACGGATCAGCCCCGCCCAACGGTGCTGCATCAAACGGTTGTCTACATGCTGTTGGCCACCCGTTTGACTGAGACGTCCAAGAGCCGACTGAGGGGACGTGAGCACTCATATACATTTACACACATTTACAGCATTTGGAGCTCCTGGTTTCGAGGAAAGTGGTTTCTGGACCAAAAAGATGTGAAGGTCAAATCAGAAAAATGCGAATTATACAAATCCTGAACTCTACGACTCTATGACTCTTCCAAGCTTCTCCCCGTCCGGAAAACCGCTGTCGCCCAGTGGCTGCGCGGAAGAAGGGCGGCCGTTCCCGGTGAAAGGCTCTGGGCGGCAAGATGGTTTGCTGCACCGTCTCCTGTCTCTGGGCCACTTCGTGCGCGGGTTTCCGGGCACGCGCGCGCGCGGAACGCACCGGTGCACCGGGAGGACTGGACGAAGCGCCTGGCGCCTGTCAGGCCAATATGGTCCACTGTTTTTTTGTATCTTTCTTCGACGCACTGACCTTATGTTTGTGTCGCTGGTCGCAGATTGGCCCACGCCTTGCAGATTGAAGTCATTGGCCCTTCGTCTCTGGTGGGAAGGCATTCGAAGAGTAAGGCCCTTCCAAAGCTCCAGTCAAGTGCAAATTGTTGAGATGTCGACTAATGCCAGTGCCATTCTGACTGACTCTCTATGCGGCACAGGCATTTGGCCATTTGAGCATCCGAAATCGAACAAATACATCTTGAAGATCCACACAAAAATCATCCGTCGACCGCTATTGAAATCAAACTATTGGTGGGAATTGCCTGTGGGTCAAAACCAGGACTCCTTGGTAGACCTACCGCGAAGTTCAAGGCTCCAGGTTTTGACCCATCCCCAAGTAAGACAAACAAGTTCTCCCCAAACATGCACACAGTACTTCCGCGACACACCGCCTGAATTCAGGCCCTCTTGTCTCCGTGTCTCCTGGAAGATGGCGGTCGACTTCCAAACCCCCGCGCACGCCTGCCGAACGCCCCGGTCGTTGCTTGTGACCCGGTCGCAGCCCCCAGGGGGTCGGTCCGGACACCGAGAACGAGCGAACAAGACGTGGCTCCAAGGCCTGGGCGTTTTCGCGTGGAATCCAGAAGTGCTCGTAAACGAATTGTAGACATTCCATGGGACTGCCTTTTTTGCCAATTGGGGTGGTGCCAGGGGGGTCAATGGGGTGATGGAGTGTCTGGGTAATGTAGACTCTTGATGAATAAACCCTCCATAAGCCTTCCATTTGAATTGGAAGTCCTCTTCATATGGGGGGGTTGATTCACCAACAGTCTAAGGCTTAGCCTGGCCCCCGGTTCCGTGCTTGATCAACATCTTCGGACCGTGGCTCGCGGAAAAAGAACTGCACAGGCCACCGTCCACAGTGGAGGTTGAACAAAGCCCCGATGGAACTGTGTCGGAAAGTGCAACCGTAACGATTTGTTCCAAAACTTTGATGAAACAAAAAAACACAAATTAAAATATATAGCTGGCAAATGTACTGCCACCGCCGCAAACGCATTCAAACCTGGTGCCTTCATTGGGAAGCACTTGGTCCAGGAACCCCGCCAGTCCACACCGCAATTTCCCCAGCCTCTTGATCCTCAGGCGAAGCGATGGAATCCAACCTCAGCACCAGGCGAAGAGTACACTCCGACGAGCACGTCACAAGGGCCAACGTGGATGGCACCGCCTCTTTGTACAGTGGATTCAGAGTAGATGGCATCCCCAAGTTCGGTGGTTTAGATGGAACCCTATATAAAACACAGTTCAGTTCGGTGGTTGTGCCATCTACTCTGAAACCACTGTAAGGGAAAGTCGTCTGACCTGGGAAGGGGCGCCATCGACGTTGGCTCCATGCTGTCTTCCTCGGAGTTTTTCCACATGTTTGGCAGTCAGGAAGTGGATGTTTTCAACACCGATCCGGTGCCCCGGACGATGATTCCAGGTGTTTAGATCCAATGTTTCCTCCAATCCAGCCCCAAAATTGGGAGACATTGGTGGGGGGGTTCGTGGGTGGTAGAGTCCAGCCCAAACAGGTAAAGGCAACAATTGATTTTCACGTGCAGGACGGAACCTCTGGCCGATCGGATCAGAAGAGAAGCGATCGGATCAGAAAACGGTTACGTATTTTTAACTACACGCGGAGATGATATACACATCATTACACATTCCTCATTTACCACAAATCGGAAGAACACCTTTGACCACCAGCTATACCTAAACAAACACATCACAAATGAAAGTGGAGAACGCTCTGTTTGCAAAAGGGCAATGAGTCAATAGGCTTGGAGAGGCCCATGTTTCGCTGGTAATGTGTTCGTTCTAACACTATCACCACCAACTTCCCGCGGCTCAAGTGCTTGGGAAGTTCCATCGGAATTCCAGTAAAAATATGTGCAAATGCACTTGCTCGTCTAAGGTCCTGCACTGGAATCCGGCAACTCTGCATGTCAAGTTTGAGTGGGTTGTGTAACCCCTGATGCTCATCAGATCGCTGGGAAACATGTACTGTATCTTGAACTAGCAAGTTCAAAATGACCCATATCAGCTGAGCATCACAAGCAAGCTTTGGAAGGTAGGTGTCATCTTTACCACTGCAATGCTCACTGATTCGTCTTTCAGCAGCTCTCCATGAATCATCTGCCAATACCCTGGCCATCCGGATGAAATGCGTTTGCAAAGTCCCGTTCATGATCAGCAGTGGCCGCCGACGGGAGCTGGAAGCACATTCCACAGCAGGAGCACATCTGATGTCCAAAGCATGCCTCTACGTCCAAACTGTGAGAAACCCGGACCTGCTACGCCAGCTGGCCAAGGCCCATCGGCCCCGGGTCAACACCCGGTCACCCAGACCTCTAAGTACGGGTCGTGTGCTCTTCCAGGATGATTGGCTGTTGTTCCCGCTTTTGACCTTGGTGACCACATTTCGCTTCTCACCATGTCGATGTCAGCCGTAGTTTCTGTCGAGCAATTTCCCAAGTGCTGTCGCATGGCCTCGCAAGGCCTTGGAAGGCATTGGAAAAAGAGGCGTGGAAGGAGTACATACCTGTCATCCGCGCGTTTCCTCGAGGGCTAGCTTGAGCCACTCAAGTGCTCAGTGAGGTGTTGACAAACAAAACCTAGGGCCTACCACCTGAGATGGTGGTTAGGGTGGGTGCGAGGGGGTCAAAGCGCCGAACCTGATGATATGGGACCGAAGCCCTAGGGAAGGAATCATATCCTGTGCCGTCTTGCTTTTGAAGTTTCTTCCGCAACGAGAGGAACCCACCTGTCACGGTCTCCAACCTAGAAGCGATAGACTCCAACCTAGAAGCGAGTTAAAGTATTGTCAATAGTGATCCACAGCTTCTCGGGGGCGTTTTCAGATCGAAGCAGGCACTGCAGGCAGCCTGCTGGCAGCGGCTCAATCTGGCTGAAGAGATCTGACTGCTCGGTGCTCATCGTGGGGTTTAACGGACTGCTCGGTTGCCATCACGCTGCGGATCGAGCCGCCTTCTCGCCGCATGGAGCCGGTCAGACCTTTCCGATCCCAAAGGTTGGCGATTGGCGAAACGTGTCTGGCGGATTGGCATGGCGAAACAAAAGGGTGTCAGGATTCCGCGACACGATACGACACTTGACTTCCACATGTTCCGCGACTCACGTGTCAACTTCACCCGAGAAAAAGTGATCAACTCCCAGATTTTGCCAAGATGCAGGATATCTGCAGGATTGCAGTTTGGACTGAAAGACACCTGGCACCGCTGTCAATTGAAGTTTGGTGTTCGAAACAACTTGTACAACACCCATCCTTCACTCCAAAAAACACTCAAACTCCAAACAACAACAACACGAACAATACGCTGGGCCCCATGAATGTTGTGGGAGAATCGCAAACATCCCGCCGGCGGCACTGGTGAGCTTTATGAATCAGGATCTCCTTTCTGGTGGCAGGGTTTCGGTACGACCTGGGGTCCAACGTTAAACACTTGATGAAATCTTGGCCACGAGGATATTCTTCATTGAAAGTAGCACCATGTAGCACCCACTTGGAGAAAAGTGTTACTTACTATCTCTGTGGGTGGCTATGGTCACATCCCTGAAGATTGCGTCAAAGCCGGCGGCTTCCGGCGGCCTACTGATTTTGGGTACCTTCAAGCTTCTGAGCCACAGGTAGATTCAAATAACGGTCAGATTTCCATTGTTATCTAACTTGTGTATAGATTCAAATCCGATGTCTTGAAACACAGAATCCAGAACAGCTCATTTTGACTCAGCCGTTGCAGTGAACCAACCACGCATCGTCATACTACGTCATACAACTGTTCATTGAGGCCTTTGGTTCAGAAGTCTGACTGCTTTGACACAGCAAGTAATGATACACCATCAACACAATGGAACACGGCAAAAAAAGAGTCAACATCCAGGTGAAACTGTGACTCCAATCGTACGGAACACCATGTGAACACACTGCCCAAGCCCCGCTCGTACGTTGACCACAACGTGCCAGCAGCACGTGCAGCTTCGTTCGAAAGTGCTCCACCGCCGCCTGTGCGCCGCGCAACCGCCGTTCGAGCCTCCAGGCTCTTCCAGCCCTTGGCATCGCCCGAGTCCCAGTTGATTGGATTGATGTGGCCCAGAGGCGACCCGAACGAAAGGTCCCGAACCTGTCCTGCTACATGTTGGTGAAGGCTCCACTTCACCCGATCGCCTGGTTCGGGTCAAAAGCCTGGCGAACTGAGGATCCGAGCCTTTGGGGGTTATAGATGATGCCTCCCTGAGTAGGTTCTGATATCATGCAGAGTTGCAGCCCATTTGGTTTTAGCCCTCCATAGCCCAATAGACATTGAGGGATCGAGTTGTTAGTACCGGGTTAGCCAAAACCACTGGTCAAGTCATTATCATGGATCAAATACCTGCTCATGCAAATATCATCCAATATCTTACCCACTGCAGTCCTTCCTTGAAAATCAGTGCAACCACCTGCGGTCATAAGTTCCACAGTCTACCCGGGCCCACATCAGCTTCACCTGTCAGTTGGATGCCATCTGACTGCTTAAGAAGGAAACCCTAGGATTCCTGGCCCACCACCATTGATTTAATCATAGGCGGGTCATCCCGAACAACCATGGGTTTAACTATAAATTTTACACTACCAATCCAGGTCAACCGTTTTTTGAGTATAGGAATGTCTTGGAAGTCTAGCTTGAAAGATCATTGTTGCGTGGAAGTCTCCCACGTTCCACCTTCGCATCGCATCACGACCAACGGCGCTCGATCGGACGAAACATCGTGTTTCTTTTCCACAGCCAACATCAGTCGTCAACATACACCAGTTGCAAACCGAACGGAAGGAACAAAATCAAAGACCTACGGTGTGAAAACAACCAGTCATCAAGCATGTTACTGCTTTATCAACTTCAGGAGACCAGGAGACTGAAAATCGTGTGTCCTCTTGATTGTGCACACGAAACACTTCCCTTCCATGAGATTCTGCTGCCACCCCCCCCTGCCTCCGTAGGCCCAGCATAGACCACCGAGCCTCCCACGGCCAACCTAGAGGAACGGCACCGCGGAGGCCCAAAACTCACTGATCTGCACAGCGGCAGATGGTCGACCAAGGCCCAACATGGAGACACTCCAACAGGGTCCCATGAATAAAGCTGAATGGCTACCTGCTTAAGGCTTGGAAAGTCGATGATGACTGGTGAACTTATTCATCGACTTTCTAAGCCATACTAGCAGGTAGTCAGCGGGGGAAGATCTTCCCGGAATCCAGACTGTGGTGGTGGTTCCGATGTGGTTCCGTGGATAAGGTTCAAGGAGAGCAATGTGCCGTTGGTGTAGACAATTGTGGAAACACATCTGGTTGATATGAGGTGTTATTACGATGTGCATGCCGATTGCAATATACAAGGCAGCATATAGGGATAGTTGTAGTACTCACGCATAATTTGCGCATGTATTGGACATTAATGAACCCAAAATGACCCAAAGGCAAGCACTCATGAAAGAAGTTGATGGGTGGCATGCCTTTCACATTCAGTCACACTAGCCCCAGTTACCGTTTTCTTCTTGTGACAATCTGCTCGGATGCGTGACACCCTAACTTTGATCGACTTCAGCTTCTTTGAGACTGTTGATGAGTGTGTGGACAACCTGAACTCTATCCTCTATATATACTTATAATTACCATGCAAATACTTAGATCTACTTAGACCCTCCAACAGGTCTCCATTCGGGTTTCCAAGCACCACGCCTATAGACAGGAAAACCAAGCAACTAGATTGAAGAATCATGGAGCCAAAAGATGCCAAAAGGCCGGATGGGGGTTTTAATAGGGTCTCCCTCTTCATAATGTATACCTGGACCTTCTTTCGGGGTGTCCTGGCAGGTCCCTTAGTAGTGGGCTGGGGCTTCCAGCCAGGTGACCCCGACATGAAGGTGCTGGTAGACCTTCCAGGAACATCCGCTTCTCGGATCTCCTTTAGCTGTCCCATCGAACCGTTTTTGTCACCGATATGTTGTTTTCACCGATTCATCAGCCATCTATTCACTTACCGAAGCCTTGAACCCCGGGACGAAAGAAACACAGAAACGAATGGGAATTCACCCTGAATTCACCCAGGAACCGACAGAAACACACACCATGATCTCGATTTCCAAAAAAATAAACAACTTTCAAACCGGCCAAACTCCAAAATATCCAACAGAGACCCCTTCGCCACGAGCTACAGGACCAGGTCATCGAAGAGCTGCAAGGTGTCGTAGCGCGGCTGATGAATCACCGCCACCACCTGCCGACGAGCGCCCGCACACGAAGACCGGGACTGCTGTCGGGAGACTGGACCGCAACATGGAAGCATCCGAAGTAACCGAAGCAACGTGTCTCCTTTGGTGTCCAAAAGTGATGCTTCCAAAAGCCACCAGGAGTGCAACAGAAAGGGTGTCTCTACCAGTTGGGCAAACACCAGGATGTACTGTATAAGACATAGTATCACACCTCATATACTCCTCCTGTCCCCGCATGTTGGCGGTAGTGGATCTTTTTTTGGAGCTTAGAGAGCCATGCCGTGCAAGACCACCATTTTAGGGGCATTCATAGCTCAAAATAGGTAGCGGTAGCACCAACAAGTGCCCACGAGAGCCATATGAGCAACATCTGATGGTTTTGTTGAACCTTCGCGTCTTGCGATTCCTTGTGCAACTATATAGTTTGTTGGACCATGGTAACATGGTTCCGGTTCGCAACACCAAGTCGTTGTGCAACATGATTACAGCTATATAGAAGGAATATGAAGGAAGTACATGAAATTGTTGTCACTGCTAGAAGATTCTCTGGCACACAGCAGTCGAGCCAACGAGCCCCGGAGAATGTGCCAGCGGTCGATTTCTCCAGAAATGATCTCTCATTCAGCACTTGAGTGGCACTTGAGTCAGCAAAAAAGTCCCAGAATCCATGAGAGTATGTTGGTTTCGAGGAGAAAATGAACTGGCAAAGAGATGAGTCAAGGAACTACTCTGCGGTACTGGGGCGAGTCGGTCGATCGACGAAAGATGGTGGACCAAACTGACCAAACATCCGCAATGATGCCATGATAAGCATATGTGGCAGCGGCATCTTCAGAGTCTCAGGAGCATGTTTGTTGGAGAAAATGACATCTGTGGAGTGGCCACATGGCAATTGAAGGCTGTCAAGCGTGGTCACAAAAATGGAAACCCACACTGAATAAGACTTACCACGTCACACCAGCAGAATGCCCAAGGTCTTCGCTTGCGATCCCGTTGAGCCCCAAAAAGAGAGGTCGCAGAAAGCGTTGCCTCATCCGTAACGAGCCGCGCCCATCAGCCAAGGAACTGTTGAAGCCATTCGTGCCTCAAACATCGTGCGGCTGCGTTTTTTTCAAACGTGGCGGACTTTTTACCAGGACCTTCAGTTCGTGACCGTCCTTGAGATCCCAGAATGAGGTCACGAATCGTTCCTCAAGAGGTCTCTTACAGACTCCAAAGAGGTCACGTACTGAAGGTCCTGGTATTTTTTCTTTTTGCATCGATAACAACTAAACAAAGACTAGGGACATGAGGGTGCATTCTTTAAGAGTCTCCAAAGTCAGTACCCACAACAAAGGGCAAATGGGCAAAACAAACACTTCAAACCGGCTGCGCACTTCACCAACATCCAACCATCGACTGCTTCTTTTCCTGAAGATATCTGTACTATTTATACATGGTTTGTCCTCTGTGAAACGAGTTCGAAAGCCAGGGTCATTCCTTCAACGAAGGCCGAGGGTCCGGATCCCTCTATATATGTCCTAGACTTCTGAGACAAGTGAAACAGCTGGTTGGTCGATATTCAGCCTATAAAAGCAATGGGCCAGGAATCCTAGAGCATTGAAGGGTCCCCCTACGTTAGGAAATTCCATGGCAACGCGTTGCAAACACAGCCGCCAGCGCTGGGGATCCCCCGCCGCTGCACCATTCAAGCAACGCACCACCTGCGCTGCCCGCTTCCCGCGGCTTCGGCCGATTCCCGCTTCGGCTGGATGCACAGAGCTGAAGAAAGTTGCAAAACAGATACTTAGAGGGAGTGTTGGTAGATGGTCACAACATATCACAACTGGGATGCCAAAAGCCTAGCAGTTTCCATCGCGGAATCCGGTGAACTTTTGTGAAGGGTGCTCGCAGATCGTTGAATTTTGGACCAGGAACCTTACCTCAAACATCCCTTTCCCACGCTTGTCCCATGCATATTAGTCCCCTAGCTCCAAAAACAATGTTCATGAGAGTCGGGCCCGTGTTCATGTCAGGCCTCATGAGAAGTGGTACTATCTAAGCCGCTGGTTGGCTCATCTGCGAAGAGCAGCAACGGTTGAGCCACAAGTTCCATGCCCTGAGCCGGACGGTCGTGGCACATGATACCCTGTGTGCGTCGTGGAGGCTGAACGCGTCGCGGATGACTTGACCAGAAGTTGCACCCAGAAAGATTCAGTAGACAGGTCCGAACAGAGATGGTTTTGGGTTCGGGCAATTGTGTAAAAAACAGTATATAATATTCATATAGAATCCATCCAGTTGTTGGGATCATATTGTCCCACTGTGTCTGGAAATACTGAACATTGTTGTGTCATTGGTGTGTCATGGCCTGAGGAACGTAAACAAGAGAGGTTTAGGGCCCCAGTGCCACGCACCGGGCCAAACACATAATGTGTGAGACAGCAGCCCCAAGTGTGTTGAGCCACTCAGCCACTGCGAAACCGCGAAGCCGCGAAAACGGTCCGACAAACACCACCAATTTGAACTGGAAGAGATGCTCCAGAAAGACCCTCGTTGGTTACCACCCCCAGCGGCCGCTGTTCGGCCGTCCCATCAGTCCCATCCCACCAGTGACTTCTGGGGACTTCTGGTCGCTGGGCTGAATCCGATGATCCCATGGTGACCCGATGGTCCGATGATCCGATGGTCCGATGATCCGATGGAGGGCGGGGAATCCGAGGCCTCCCAGACCTCCAGGCCTCCGCATTCTTCGCTGGGGCACCCGACGATGGAGACACGCTTCCTGGAAGTCTGGCCGGTCCCGCCGGGCCAGGTCCGATGTTCAATGTGACCCAAACACGACCTGTTTTGGGACTGGAATATTATGCCTAGATTGACCCCCCCTGGCACCACCCCAACTGAACGCCCAAGTCTGGGCAGTCCCATGAACAAATTGTGTCTGGGTGAGAAAGACAGGATCGAAATGGATCGAACTTCCACCAGGTCCACAGAGGAAAGTTTCTTTCCGCCTCCCTTTATCTCCAAGTCTGGATGTTCTAAGCTTGTTTTGCTGAATGGTAAAGGGAACACCCCCAAGTATATCCCAGGCGTTCATCCACCTGTTTCATGATGCATCGGGCCGAGTTCTAAATTACGGGAGGATCCCAAAAGGCAAAGAGAGTTCGACCATTCTGACACCCACACAACTGGCAAAGGCAACCCCAAATCAGGGACCAAGCCAAAGCAGCCCCAAATCAGGGCCCAAGTCAAATGGATAAGTCACACTGGGAACATCGACAGCAAATCCACTATCACTATCTACCACTTGGATATCGAAGGTGGTAAGACTAAGAATCGAGATGAATCAAGTAACTTCGCAAAGCAACTGCCTGCAAGGACCCATCTGAACCTCATTTTACGAGCCTGTAGACTCTAGAATCCAGCTAAATCCAGCCAAGAAGTACAAAGAGATCTTAAGTTGATGAGAATCAACAAAAACAAACACGTTAAAAAACATCCTTGTGATGAACCCTGAATTCATCTGAATTCCTTTCAAATCGCTGCCTCCCCAGCCGCCTCACTTACCCCTCTTACCCCTGCTCGACGAATGGGGCGTCCCACCGTTGCCCACCGGAGACGCCACGCTTCTCCGGAGTGCCCACGCGCGCCTCTCGTGAACCGAGTCGTGGAGTCGTCGAATCTCCTCCCCTTCAGTGCAAAGAAACATTCCGTTCCAGCAGTTACAAGACGGGGTGGTGTTTAGTCCCATCCAGTGAGTGGATGTGACAGGGGCACCCCGACTACCTCCATGGATCGCACCCCGTCGAACGTGACTGCTGGTTCGCTTTCGCTTGTTTTGTTCGCTTTCGCTTGTTTGCAGGAATGTATCCAAAGTATCTCATCCCCTGCGAAAGACTTCTGTGATTTGTTGGCAACACATATTCCAAAAGCACGTGCTGAGCCGGACCCGTGCGGCACAAGCTGACCCAACAAGTGCTTCTTCATCGCTTCAAAGATCGAACGGGGCTTGCTCCGGGATGACTGGAAAGCCGGTGAAGAGATCTGGCCCACCCTTTCAGAATGCAAACTGGAAGATTTGCTGCATTTCTGAAAGGGTGGTTTCAAGTGAGGTTTGCTTCAAAAGTCGATGGGGGTACATATTTGTACACAGGGATTTGCTGGGGCTGGTATGGGCTTGGCTCTTCCTACCAGTTGCAGATTTGGGCATTGTACCATGCGCAAACACGGGGGGAAGCGAGCCATTTGAGAGGAATGGTGGACAGGAAACCGGAAGCGTTTTTGTGACACATCCAGCTGGAGAGGTGATGTTGAACACGCGCACATGGTCGGGTACAATGGATGTACATGTCAGCCATCAGTGCATTTAGCGAAGTCTCCGTCACCTTGAGTCTTCGAAGCCTTTGAAGGGTTTAAGATTAATTAAGGATTTCTCAAGTTCGTGAATCAGAACAAATACCCAGCGACTGTCACATGACTCGCGTAGGTCCTGCCTAAGGTCCTTGTCTTCCTCTACTTGGCCAAGAGGATGCAAAAGAGTATCAACCCTGTGACCTGGAGATTGATTTTCGGTGACACAATCTATGCGTGGTTTCCGCCCCCTTTTTCATTGGCTTCAGAATATTTAAGGGAGGCTTGATCATCTCTATAGGGAGGCTTGGTATCAAAACCAAAGGGCTGGAGACCTTGATATGTTCACCTCCTGGCTGGTGTCTGTTCTGTTCATTTGCCCAGTTCTGACCCGACTAGAAACCCCGGTAGAATCACCCATCTATGTTCAAGGGCTGTGGGGCAGCTCGGCTAAAAGGCTCGGACCTGCTATAGGCTTCTTATATCTAACGGATAAAGCTTCGGAGGTAGCCGGAAGCTGCTGCTTCGGAGGCAATGGGGAAACCCACCGTGAGAAGACACATGCCCGAGGCATCTCGATTTCTGCGACCTGTCCTCAAGCAAGTTGAAGAGATTCAAGTCTTTGGCCACCTGAGTCATCGCTGCGAGGCACATCAAGTAGTCTGAGAGCACCCCGTGGATCCAAAGACCTATTGTAGGTCCCCAGTGGTTCCTTACAAGACTTAAGACCGAGAAAAGGGCCCCTGATTCCTTATATGGGCAACCTGCTCGACTTGCGTCCGAGACTGTGCTCACCATCCTCCCTTTGCCCCTTGCAATTCCGCTTGGCGTCACTGACCTTCTCAGACTATGAGAGCTTCAGAGCTTCAGCCCATGACCCGGTCCATCATGACCCCACTCTTCCCCAGTTTCCCGGCGATTTGACCCACCCACAACCCGGAAAGAACACCTCCACATCACCAACCGCTCCCACTCCGCCCAGCTCCCAGAGCTCCCACTCCGACCCACGAGAGAGACGGTGACCGAGCCGCAGAGGTGACGCAAGCATCCACCTGCTTGGCGCACCGAGCCGCGCATCCCGGACCGGTGGGGTTCGGTTCGGGCTTGGCTGAAGGGTTGGGGTGGTTGGGTCTTCGACACTCGGTTCGTTCTCGTTTGGTGTATTATCCATGTGATTCCTGGAGAACATCATGATTGAGTCATATCATATATATATATACATATCTGGAGCCTGGAACACCTACCACAATCTAGTCGTGTTAAATTGTTCGATCGACCATCAACAAACGTGCCGGTGTCACAAAGGGCGCTCCAGGGATTCCAAAACGTATTGAATAACAACACCAAAGTTGCGCCCCAAAAATGGATGTCTGCGTCGTTTTGCTGATCGTTTGCTTTGTATTTTGTGTTGTTGTTTCAGGTGGTTCACACAACGGCGTTCTGTGTTGTGTTTCTTTGACTGCTGTGTTGTGTTTCTAAGCGCTTTGGTGCCTCCAGCTCATTTCCGGCAAGGTTTCCACATAGCAAAAGCAGTCCTTGTCTTTTTTGATCGTTTTTAACCAAACACCCAAAAAACAGAACATCAATGCCATGTGGAGTCTCAAAAATGATTGGCACTCAAAAACTGTGATCGTTTGGGGTTCCGGGTATATACAAAAGTGATCCATGTTTTGGTCAAAGCGTCCGAACCGAAACGGGCCGTGTCTCTGTGTCTCGAAACTAACTCGTTAGAGGATCTATGTCTCATGTGGAAGTGCCCAGCTACCTCAAGAACACTAAAGGAAACACCCACACCCTCACAAAAGGGATCCCCGAAACGCTGGTTTTGCAGCGCCGACATAGCACCTCACCAGACCCATAGCCTACAGCACAAAAAACTGTTTCCGTCGCAAACGGGCCTCATCTCTAGGAACATGGGCAGGTAGTCGCAAAAGCGCCTGTCAGTTCGAAGGCCATGGTGTGGAAAAAATTGTCCCTTGTTTATACATTTGGACCCGTTTGATTCAACAAGTGGAAGGAATCCACATTTTAAGGGACCAGCGTTGTTGCCTTACCAGTGTGTCTTACGTTTTCCTGATCATCGTCTTTTCCCCAGATAGCTGCAAACTATAGGGTTCTTACTTGTGGCTCTGGATCGGCATTTTTGTTTTGCCCGTGCTGGCCTCGTTCTGGTGCTGCTGCTGGTGCTGGATCGGCGTTTCACTTTGCCCGTGCTGGTGCTGGTTGGTGCTGGCTCTGGATCGGCGTTTCGGTTTGCTGGTGCTGGATCTGCGTTGCCCGTGCTGGTGCTGGCGCTGCCTCTGGATCGGCGTTTCGCTTTGCCCGTGCAGGTGCTGGTGCTGGGTGCTGGTGCGGGTGCTGGATCGGCGTTTGCTTAGGGCGTGCTGGTTGGGGGGGCTGGCGCGGGCGCTGGTGCAGGTGCAGGTGCTGGTGCTCGTGCTGGCCCCTAGCATGACTTGATGTCATCCCTGGCATGACATGATGTCATTATTTCAAATAGGAAACAGCCAACAAGATACACCTTTTTCTTGAGCCAAATATAACGCGTAAAGTAGACATGACTTTGTACAAGCGGTGAAAAATACCCCCCGCGGCGCCGCCAGGTCACTGGCAGCACCGAAGAGGCAGAAGTGCAGCCATCATAGACCTTAGGACAGGCTGCAATGCTATGTACAATATGCATGACCTACGAATGCGTTGTTGTAATGGAGAAAGTTGCAGGTGAGGTTCGGCTCCTTTTGCGCTCGTAGCGGGAAGCTGCAAAACAAAATGCACGGCTTAGGTTTCCACCTAGCATCACGGGAGCAATACCACTCCAATCAAGATGCCATAGGTGACTTGCACCGTGAATTATTATAGACAAGATGAATGCACTAGGCATGCCAGCCAAAATGGACACGGCAAACCTTCCGGTTCGCAACGCTGTTGAAACAGTTAGCCCAAAAGATGAAAGACGGCTAACGTCCCCGTTAGCGTAGCGAGCTTGAAACTCCAATACTTTACATGCCAACATGAGAAAGAAAGCGTTCCGGCTAACGTTCCCGTTAGCATGGAAGATACACACTCCGAAGGCCGAAAAAGATCTATGGATCCCACTCCCAGTACCATCCCCGGGAGGCAGTCCACTTCCACGAAAAGCTCCAAGATCCGGACCATTCTCGGTCGCCGTAGTAAACCCGCTCCTGGGCAGGCTTACCCTTACCCTTCTCCTTGCCCTTCTCTTTGCCTTGTCCCTTGTATGGCTCGGACTTATACTGCCCTTTCTGCGGCTCATATTTGCCCTTGCCCTTCGGCTGAATATCGCTCTTGCCCTTGCCTTTGGCCTTGGCTGCGCCCTTCATTGCAATGTCCTGGGCAATGGTGCGCTCCGGCGGCCCGACCACGGCATCAGAAGAGCTTCCGGCAGCACCCTTTCCCTCCGAGGGCTTCGGCACCATTCGCCACTGATGTGCGGCTGGTGCCCATGGGCGCGGGCGATCAGACTTGCCCTTGCCCTTCCCCTTGCGGAATTGGGTCCGCTGCTGGAGGCGTTGCTCGTGATAGGTAGGGCAGTCGATCTTGTAGTGCGGCCCCCCCCGCACACGAAGCAACCGGAGGCTGGAGCTTTTCCTTTGCCTTTGCCCTTCTTGGCTTTATGCTCGGCCTGGTCAACGGGAAAGAATCCAGATCGTAGATTCTGGTTCGCCGTCGACTTGCGAGACACCGCACTGACCTTCTTGTGCGTCCCCTCGATCACCTTCAAGCTGTGCCCAAATTCATTTGCAGCATCGGGCCAGTTCAATCGGGCGAAGGACACAAGATCTTTGAGGATGTTCTCGGCCGAGCCTTCCGGCTGGCATTGCTTATCGTTCCAGCCGATGATCACGGGCGGAGGCTGATTCTTCTGCAAGATCGCAAAATCGACGTACGTGGCAAACTGTGCCAAGGTCAGGAAACGGCATTTGTGTGCCACGAACGCCTCATCAGCCAAATCGACAGGATCGTCGTCACCCCGGTCAAGCTTCAAAATGAAGCAGAGACGGGTTGCACGAGCTTCCATCTCCTCCTGCTCTTCCGCAGCCGGGTCATCCTTTCCAGTGCCCTTTCCCTTCTTGCCTTTCCTCTGCTCGGCTGTTCTTCCAAGCTTCGGATTCATGCTTCGTCCGAGCCGCTGCAGGAAGTCAAGTGCATCGGGCGTGACCCTGAGCATCCGATGTTGATTCCAATCAATAGTTTCCTATGAAAAAATATTGATATTGATTTGCCTTGAATATCAATATCAAAATCAATATTTTCTATTGATTTGGTTTAGGTGTTTTCTGTTGATTTTGATGTGCCCTTTTCCTTCCAAAATATGATGAACATATTGATTTTGATATTGATTTTGATCTTGATTTGGATATTGATTTTGGACACCCCTTTTCAGTTTGCAGTTTTGGCTGTGAGAGTGTGAACAAGTATAGGGAACCAAGAATGTCCAGAGGTGGGGCCAGGCACAAAGCCAAGGCTTACATAGACCCATCCTTGCTGCTGCAAGTGATGGGCAACCATGGGGACTTGCTGGCTGATCTGGGATCCTATGAGAGCAGGAACAAGCAAGGTGCTGTGGACCCTGCTGGATTGGTCAGGTGCCTACCCCTTGTGAAAGGGTTGTTGGGTGTGTGCCCCAGAGCAGAGGTTCCATCAGCTCCTCTGAGGCAAGCTCTTTTGAGCTTGCTCACCTCTATGCCAGAGGTGAACAAGAGCAAGTTCAATGGCAGCACATGGAGCAGCCTGAAGGCTGAGAGGCTGACCACCCTGTTTGCTCATGTGAGGCGGTTGAAGAGGGACAATGACCAAATGAGAATTTGTGCTGCAAAGCTCAGTGGCTCATCCTACACTTGCCTACAGGAAGCCATTGGCATGGTGACCTTGCCAGAGGAGGAGGAGCCTTTGGAAAAGGGTGAGGAAGCTTCCTTGAAAAAGGAAATTGCTGCAAAGCTGCCCTTGCAAAAGGGAAAAGCTGCTGATGAGATCTCTGTGGATTCTCATGGTGTGCCTCTGATCTTTTGCACACCAGACAAGGCAGGCAGCTCGTCCTCCAGACCAAAACCCTTCATCAACAGAAGGGAAGGCACCATGGTCCATGGACATAGCTCTCAGGCCTTGCAAAAGGCATTGGGATATGGTACCACTGAGCCAGCAGCAGCCCTTGCAAAAGGGAAGGTCCCTGCCAAAACCCTTGCAAAAGGGAAAGGCAAGAGCAACAATGCCTCTGCAAAGGCCCTTGGAAAAGGGAAGGGTGACAAAGCTGCTGCCAAGGCCCTTGCAAAAGGAAAAGGCAAGGGCAAGAAGGCCTCTGCAAAGGCCCTTGCAAAAGGGAAAAGGGATGGCAAAGCCTCTACAAAGGCCCTTGGAAAAGGGAAAGCTTCTGCAAAGGCCCTTGCAAAAGGGCAAAAGAGGCCCCTTGAGAAAGGGAGTGAGGGCACCTGGTATGCCTTGAGAAAGACAAATGCCAAGAAGCCCAAGAGAACATATATCACAGGTGTCTTGGCACCAGGGAGTGGCCACCCAAGGAAGCTTATTGTGGAGGTTCCAGCCACTTGGAGCTCTCAGCATGACTTGATTTGCAACAAAATCATGAAAGCCTTGGAAAAGGACAGCCTCAGCAAAGCAGAGGCCTTGAAGATGAGAGAGGAGCTAGTGGCAGCCTACCCTTGAGATGCTGTTGCCAAACACCCTTGCCAAAGGGTGAAGAGCTTGCTCACCCTTGCAAAAGGGTGCAGCCCTTGCCAAAGGGCATGAACCCTTGCAAAAGGAAGCAGCCCTTGATAAAGGGCATGAATCAATCCTTGCAAAAGGTGTTCCTTGCAAAAGGATGGAAGCAGCCCTTGAGAAAGGGCACAAATCAATCCTTGCAAAAGGTGTTCCTTGCAAAAGGATCGAAGCAGTCCTTGGTAAAGGGCATAAATCAACCCTTGCAAAAGGTGTTCCTTGCAAAAGGCTGGAAGCAGCCCTTGGCAAAGGGTGTGACCTAAAAGGATACCCTTGGAAAAGGGTTCTGCACCAAGACCTTGAGAAAGGGTTTTGTTAAAGCTAGGCCTTGAAAAAGGTTTGTACATATGTACATGTATAGCTGGATATAGTGCTAGCATCTTGGAAAACAGCTGCTGCTGCTGCTGCTTCTAGTTGCTTTCTGGTGTTGGTTTCTTCTAGTTGTTTTTTCTAGGGAGGTGTTGTTGTTTTTTCTTCTTGGTTCATGTGTTGGGTTTTGGTTTTGTGGTGTGGGTTTGGTGTTCATGCCTTGATGCACCTGCAGCCATTTGGGCTACAAGCGGCTCAGCTGAGCCATCTGTCAGGGAGCCACCCTGCAACATGGAGGTGGATGAAGAAGGAGATGTGGTGGAGGATTGGGAGATGTGGGATGTGGAGGAGGAAGAATGGGAGGAGGAGGACTGGGAGGAGGAGGAGTGGGAGGAGGAAGAATGGGATGAGGAGGAGGAGGAGGAGGGGGAGGAGGTGTCTTCAGGACCCCTTACCCCTTCCCATTCTCACATGTTGACCAAGGCTGGGAAGAGGAAGGGGCCACCTCTGCTCCTTCCAGGCCCTCTGAGCCCCTTGCAAAAGGGCAGGAGGCACCAGCTCTTGCAAAAGAGGGTGGTGAGGAGGAGCAATCCCTTGCAAAAGGGACAGGTCAGGCACAATCCATTGAAAAAGGTGATGGTGATGCATCAACAGCCCTTGGCAAAGGGCAAGAAGAGTCAACCCTTGGAAAAGGGGCTGTGCCAGTCAAGGCAGCACCATCACCTCCACCTTGCAAAAGGTGGAAGGTGATGGTGGACTGGCACAACACTCTGAAGGCTGGCCCTGATGACACCATCAGGGCCCAGGACTTGGAGGCTCTCCATCAACTCCTTGAAAAAGGAATTGGTGTGTACCTCTGTTCTTGGTGTGGGAGAACACAAAGACAGAAGGTACAACA